GATGATTGGGAGTGATGTGATCTGGTCCCTGAGGATCCTCGTGTCACACTCTTTCTCACAGCTGCGCTCACAGGTGTGTGTGTGTGTGTCAGACTGACCCATAACAGCCTAACCTTGGTGCGAACTTCGAGCTCGGCTCCCCTTAAAGGGTTTCTTCACCCAAAAATGAAAATTAAGTCATTAATTACTCACCCCCATGCTGTTCCAACCCCGTAAGACCTTCGTTCATCTTCGGAACACAAATAAAGATATTTTTGATTGAATCTGAGGGCTGGATCAGTCCTACATAGACTGCCTAAGGGACTGGCTCTTGACGGCCCATAAAGTCATTAAAGAAAAGGTTTAAATATTCCATGTGCCTACAGCGGCTCGATTATAAGTTTATCAAGCGGCGAGACTACTTTTTGTGCTAAAAAAACATAAATAACGACTTTATTCGACTATTCTATTACTTCCTTACGGGCGCATGCGCGAGAACTGAGACGAGGACGTTCTCATTCGTCTACTTCTTGTTACCGGCTGTTCACCGCTTAGGAGTTTTACCGCCCCCTACCGTATAAGATGATGTGCTGATATAGCTGGAAGCGCAAAACTTTCTGTTTACAAGCAGAGGAAGATGCGCGCTGTACATACGCTTTTCAATTAGCGTATTTTCCGCACTATAAGGTGCACTTAAAAGCCTTTAATCTTCTCAAAAAACGACAGTGTTCCTTATAATCCGGAGCGCCTTATATATGGATCATCATTTCATACGGTAGGGGGCGGTAAAACTCCTAAGCGGTGAGCAGCCGGTAACAAAAGTTAGTCGAAGGAGAAGAACGTCCTCGTCTCAGTTCTCGCGCATGCGCCCGTAAGGAAGTAATGGAATAGTGGAATAAAGTCGTTATTTATGTTTTTTCCGCACAAAAAGTAGTCTCGTCGCTTGATAAACTTATAATCGAGCCGCTGTAGGCACATGGAATATTTAAACCTTTTCTTTAATGACTTTATGGGCCGTCAAGAGCCAGTCCCTTAGGCAGTCTATGTAGGACTGATCCAGCTCTCAGATTCAATCAAAAATATCTTTATTTGTGTTCCGAAGATGAACGAAGGTCTTACGGGGTTGGAACAGCATGGGGGTGAGTAATTAATGACTTAATTTTTGGGTGAACTAACCCTTTAATTGAGAATGAGGAGTTGCCGTCATTGTACAGAGCCCCTCCCCTCTCCGCCATGTTTTTTTTTTTTTGCACCAGAGGCTTCCCGCTGTTATGTTTCTTCATTTTCGTGCTGACAACAACTGGCAATTAGTTGTGGATATGTATTTATAATCAACTATAACATCGGGACTTCTCGAGGAGCTCAGTGAGATGCGACTGCACGGACCGCCATCTTCCCTCCGCCCTGTTGGTAGGATTCCCACGGCAAAACAGTATTGTTTACGTGTGTTTTTAGCTCGGTAATAGAGGAGTTTCTCGCAATACCGCACCGTTTTACCATGTCCGGAAGTAACTGCTGCGTTGAAAACTCCTCCAGTAACTCACATGAGACATTTGGAAAACATAGGAACAATGGAATACAGTTGTTGGGGTTGCAGAAATTGACACAGCAGGGAGAATCTGACCTGACGAGGAGACGCGGATTGCTGGGTTTGCTGATGCCTTTAGTATATGATTTTCACTGTTTGCTGTGCCTTAATGAACATATGCAAAAGTGTTGTTTGAGTGCCTTGTTCATTACTTTTTTTATTTCATTGAAATAAATGTTTGAAACAACTTGATATGGCCTAACAATATCTATTGAGAACTGAAATATATAGGCTATTTGGACAACATAAGTTTCATGGACAACAACATAAGTAATAATAATAAAATAATAATACCGAGTGCAAAAGAACAAATATATTGATGGTGCTTCTCCAAATACAGCTGTTTTGCACTTTGTGTGAGTTTGTTCCTGTAAGGTCCCTTTTCTTTCGCCTTATCTTTTAGCATTGCTTTACTTCCTTCCTTTTTTTCTCGTATTCTTAGATCCGTCTCTGTCCTGCAAAAATAATAAATGTGCGAAAATTAAAGAGCTCTGGAATGTTTAGCATTCCAGAGGGTTCTAAAGTCTATGGGTTCTAAAGGCGTTGCCCCTGGTAACCGATGACCCCGCCCAAATTGGCACGTGACTCCTCATTCTCAATAAGACATGGGCTCCCCTGAAAACGTGATTCGTGAATTTTTGCGAAGTCTCAAAAAATATTGATAGTGTTTTATTTTGTCGTGCAATTTCAGTTTTGTGTAATCTGATCATTGTGGATTATTATTTGTAAAATAGCACAAGTATAATTCATTCATGCATGATGGCGATTTAAACCTAATTCACTTCGATAAAGATTACTATAGGGCCATGCTATTCTTGTCATGAGCATCAAGGTGTGTTGACTGCTTATTCCAATCATGGAAAAATATAAACGTTGGAGGACATTGATTCGCGTGAAGTCCTTGAAATCCATTCTGTGTTAAGATCATTCAGTCATGTGCTGTGGCTGGGTCGTTGATGTCTTAGGTCTAATTGAACGGAGGAATTATGGTATTCTTCTGTATCATGACGAGTAGCTAAATTAACCCTTGTTCAATTGAACTCAAAGACAGAATAGACATTTGTGGGTGGCTGTTTGACTTGATAAATTAGACTATAATAGGGTAAATCCTGTATATTGAGCTTGCATAGTGCACACGTGCAGCTGTCATGTATCTTTGTAAGTCCTTGTAAGGCATGCGCAAGTGCACGAACACAACCCCCACCCCCCTACACCCCTATGACACACACACCCACACACATGTTTCGGCTCTCTGATCTGTCAAGTTATCAGGAAAATAATTAAGTGAAACACAAGACTTGATCTGATTGAATCTGGCCGAAAGTTAAATGCTTTCCCCTGCCGCATACTAAGAAGATCAGAGTGTCCCTGGTGAAATGAGTTTGTGCAACCCCCCAACACACACACACACACACACCCAGAGAGAGAGAGAGAGAGAGAGAGAGAGAGAGAGAGAGAGAGAGAGAGAGAGACTGAGGCCATGTCCACACGGGGTATTTTTATAACCTTGACTTTTTTTATGCAGTTCGTCCACTCGGAAACGCAGTATCGGGACACTGAAACCTTTTTCAGGGAGATGGTTACTTTTTTGTGAGGCTTCTGATTGGCCAATTAACGTCTTCACTAAAACGCCCTCCGGAGATTCAAATCGCAAAACGGAGCCGCAGCGTTTCTAAACTTCTCCGTTTTAAGTCTTTGTTTTTTCCGTTTTAGGCCTCGTTTACACTTTGGCCGGAGTTTTTATAAATAATCGTTTTCTGTGATAACAGGGTTTTCGTAGCCTGGATGCCAGCCCGAACTCCGCCCACAACATTTTTTGGTCGGGAAGTTCGGTCTGGACTCGATCCATTGAGGAGTTATTATGATCAGGCAAAAAATGAACGGGCCAATCAAATTGCCAGGGCGGGCTTTATACGATGATGGACAGGTGATCTGCAGGGACGTAATCATCACGTTATCAAAGAGCGCTGAACTGTTTTCCCTCAGAGATGACTGCAGCTGGAGAATTGAGATGTATAGATTTCGCTGTCGCGTCTGTTGTGAAATAAATCGACAGCGCATTGATTTTAATAGACGAACAGAGAACTGCAATCAAGGCATTTGTCGATTGGAAAGATATTGCCGTCCTTCCAACATGATTCGGCAAAAGTGTACCTTATCAGCTGGCTCTGACGGTCGTTAAGAAGATGGGGCGTAATGAAAAGCCTGTGGTCGTTGTGGTTTCTCCTTTGGTCGCACTCATGGAGGATCAAGTAAAAGAAGCAACACTGGTTATTTAACTTCTAAAATAAGTAAGTTCTGTACTTGACAACTGTATGCAAAGTAGTTGACTTACTGCGTTGCTCTGATTGGTTGTAGGTCTACCGACTATCCAATTGAGTGCAGAGTTGTTTTTTTCCTGGTTCGGTTACGACACGCCTATGGAGCAGTTTCAGACTCATATTCCGACAAGAATATTGCTGCGTCCCAATTCGCATACTATCCGTCCTAAATAGTATTCAAAAATAGAATTAGTACGTCCCAAATCGTAGTATGTTGAAATGAGTGTTTCAAAGATACCCGGATGGTCTACTTTTTCCGGTCAGAATCCGAAGTGTAGATCGATGTACACTCTAACGGCTGATATTGCCCACAAACCATTGCGCGTTGGACGAGGATTCGGTTAGAACTACAAACACGAGTAAAAAGTGTTAAAAAACTACAGACACGTAGTCGATACGGAGGACGGTTGTGTAGAGAGGTTTAGATAAAGAGCTTTGAGTGATTAATTATCAGTATCTAACCTGACGAAAATGAATTTATTCAATGTTCTCCACATTATATTGCATTTGCAGCAGCATTGCGAACTTTTGTAAAGACACGTTTAGCCATTACGTTTTAAATGCATCATTATATTCAAATTGCAAACACGAGGAGAGCATGAAAGACCCACAACTGGCAGATGAACGTGCTCTCCGAAACGGTAGGAAATAAAATTAGATAGAATGGAGGATTTTAACTGTGACAAGATGATTGACAGGGCAGTTTACGGTGACAGCACGCGACAGAGCTGTCCGTTAAAGATGACGTGATAGTATGTCCAAAAGCTTGCCTACTCTTTTGCTACACACTCAAAAGTATGTACTTTTTCCTCACAAAAAGGGCGTGAGGAAAGTAGGGTGTAGTATAAGTAAGCGAATTGGGACGCAGCATATGAGTATGACGAAGTCAGGAAGTCAGTTTTCGTGTAGATCTGCGTTTTCCCTTCGTGTGAACGGGTATAGCCTGGACGGGAGGTGCAAACGTAGCAAAAGACAGACACACACACGTTCACAATCCAACAATATTAATAAGAAACCCTAAAAAACACAGTGTCTACTAAACTACATAAATAATACTAACGCAGTATCACATCACCATGATCCATACAGATGTGACATATGCGAGATACTCCAGGATCTGTCAACAAATACTCTATTGTAGTATCATAGTTGTTTAGTGAACAAACAACAATATATTTACTGTTTTATGTGCCATAATTCACATATACAGAAACTCTCATTACGATCCAGGAGGGAGCGAGTCTGAGGATCTGTCCGTGATTGACAGCTCTTGCGGAGGACTCTCAGTGAGCCGAGAGAGACCTGAGTGTCACGGTTCCCATGATGCTCCTCTTCAGGAGATTATGCACTCATGCAAACGGATGTCCTCATTACAGCCCACGATGACACAGGTCTGATGTTTTTACCCTGCAGCCATACAGGACAGAAAGAAGAATCAGCTGTCAATCAAATCTGTCAATCACAGCATCTGTGCTGCTGTTTTTCTGGCTTTATTGTTTGGTTTTATGTTACACATTACACAGGGCTGTCTGTTGTAGTAGTGGATTTGGTTTATCTGGAGTAATGGTTCGTTCATATACCTGTAAAAAGTGCAAAGTCATACAAATATCAGGTCATTTTAAGATGATGTTTTCCAGCCCTGAAAAATGCATTGAAATTTCCATCACACTTTACAATAAGCTCTTTTTAAAATATTCTCAAAAGTAGACATTTATGGATGAATTCGCCTCGCCATTATTCATCCTCTCAAACTACCATACATTTTTTTTTGTATGTACATAAGAGGAACGCTTCACATAATAATTTTATTTTAAAAATGCATTAGTATACTGTATGTTAAAATGAACGAATGAAGATAAATCAATGCAGTAAAATAGAAATGAAGATAAAATGCAGTAGAATAAAAATTAAGATAAATAGAAATGCAGTATTGTTCAATGTTAACTATTAACTAATTTTAACAAATGAAACGATGTAAAGCGTTGTGCATTTTATTTATGCTTATGGTCTCTAATAAAAAAATAGAGTAAAATAAGGTACACTGACTGATATTAATTTGTGTGCATTGTTCTTTCGGATTGTTTCTTAGTGAATCAGCTGAATCGATTCCCAGCTCAATTTTGAGGTTCAGTATTGGTCTGTGTTAATGTATTATGTTGATCCAGCGAGCGAACGAAGGGTTAAAGTGTGTGTAAACCGAGCGCCAGATAGAGTTGAGTCTTCAGTGAACGCGTCTCTCAGATCAGAGGACATGTAAGAGTCATGCTCCTATAATGAGTCTTGAAATGTCACTGCTTATGTAAGACGTGCATCAGACAAACACGTCTCGGAAACAAAAAACACACGGTGAAGAAACGAAACATGACAAATGAGCCAAACTCACTCTTCTGAAGACGATTTATGTCTGCGACTCACAGCTGATGATTATTTTTTTCTCTTTTTGTGTATTTCTTTCTCCTCTGCTTACAGGACTCACTCGATCCCTTCAAAATAAGATGTTTCAATGAAGACCTTTCGTAAGCAACGTTAAAAATGTATATAAATAGAGCTTTTAATGATGCAGTGCCGTTGGGAAATCTCAGTAACAATAATGGTGTATTCAAAATTGCTCAAACTTACTTTGGTCAATGTTTTGTTTTTTGTTTTGATTAATTATATAGCATCATCAAATAATGTGTTTTTCTTAATATTACAGCCGTTTTTTGCTTCAGTTCCTGAGAAAGAGGAGGAGCCTCTAAAGCAACACCCACCTGTGATGTCATCGGCAGACGGACCAATGGCAGTTCGAAGGCGTTTAACATCCGGAGCCAAGCTGTTTCGAACTCCAGAAACGTCCCCTTTAAATGTGATTTATATAATCTAAATATATAATAACTTAATTACTGTAAGCCCCCCCATCTACTCTCTGAAGTCGTCACTGTGATCTCCGCAGGTTAAGAGGTTACGGATGAGAGCTTGTTACACACTTGTTGATGGGGATGAAGTTGCACTGAAAGACTATTAACCTCAGGATATTCAGAGTCTGTGCGGTTCGTGAGACACACATCGCTGTAAATGAAAGGCTTAATTGCTAATTAACACTCAAACCTAGTCAATAAGTCTTTGCAGATCAATGTGGTCAGAGAAGATGCTATAGGGGTGTGAATGCAGTGCTTAGTGTATTAAAGAGCCCCTATCATAGCATTTGAAATGTTCCTATTTTTGTTTTAGGAGTTTCCAAAATTATTTTAACGTGCATGCAAGGATAAAAACACTTTATTTGTCTTATAATATGCATTTATTTTTAACTGATTTGCTCACCGACTCCCAGATGATTCGTACAACGACTCGTTTTTCCAAACCACTCCTTTGCGTGACGCTAATCGGCGGTGATTGGTCAGATGACAGAACCAGTCAGTTATTGTTTGTTAGCATAACGCATAAACATATTGATAAAGCGCTGCAGTACTACAAGACGCTCTATTCTTTACGACAACTCCAATAACAGCGACAAACATTTCACTTATTTAAAAAAAATATTGACATTGAGCGTAACTTACACACACGCGCGCACACACATATTGCGTCTTCCCTAATCTCGCCCGACGCTACAAAACCGTTCAAAACCCATAAAAGCAACAATTATTAATAATACTTACAGGTTGTGATTCGAAGGAGGAAGCTGATCCATATACACTGGGCAAGTAAGTTACTGAGCCCTCCTTCAGGAACAACCGCTTGCGAATCCACATTTGAATTCATTTATGTTTTTGAACTAAAATGATGAGAACACAATCGGGCTATACTGTTGTGGTATCGCTGCAAATATGAACTCTAACCAGCGATTCTTCACATGCTCGACCCTGGCAAATGAAAACAAAGTGGCTGAACTATCTTTGCATTGTAGAACAGCGTCTTCTCCACATGATGCGATGATGAAGTATTTGAATGTGTAGACTTCAAGTTTACACTTCCGTCTGTGCGCGGCCAGTATGTCTCTACGTCACGACGTAACAGCTAATGACTCGTTTCAAAAACAATTCATTTCATAGACTCAGAGTCGACTCTCACTTTTGAAAGACAATAACTTTATATACGCTGCACTTTCAGATATAAATCTTTGCAGGATGTTTTCATTCCCTTAGAGCTATATTCCACATCATATGAACAGTCATTTTCAAAAATCCATGATAGGGGCTCTTTAATGTGCGGTTGAAAAGCTGTTTTGAGTAGTAGACAGGTGTTTTTGAGCTCTGTGAATGTATCTAAATAAATTTCATTTCTGAATTGCATTGAAGAGTTTGTCATGAAATCTTTCTCATAGCGCTCTGTTATTATGTGGCGATACGGAGGGATGCGTAAAATGACAGATTTTGCACCTAAAAACTCATTTTCGCGTATAAATTGTACGATAAACACAATGCGTGCTAGAGACGCATTTAGTCTGTAACTGAGATTATTAAACTACCATTTAGCTTTTCTCCTCAGATGTGTGGTGGATTGTCTCAGAAGAACGGTTTGTTCTTTGCCGTCTCTCTCTTTATCTATTTGTATGTTTGCGAGGCCGTGGGACGATGAGCTCCAATCCTGTGACAGAGAAGAAAACCCCTGAACCTCGGGGACTGAGATGGGGAACGAGAGCTTGGAAAACAAAGACAGGGATAAAGGAGGATGCAGAAAGAGAGGGAAATAGAATTGATATCGGGGAGAGAGAAACCGAGATAAAGAATGAAAGAGGAGTGAGTGATTCTGAGAGGACGATGAGATACGGAGAAGCAGATATGGAAGATTAATCATTAATAAAAGAAGCCAGGGAGAACCGGATTTGAAAACACACAGACAATAGATAATATGGGAGCCAATTATCTAGTGGAGAGTGTGTTTGGATTATGCATGCGGTGCGGCTCTCCATCGGGGTTGCTCAACAGTGATTGGTGATGGGACGTGTGAGTCCAATCTCATGACAACAATTTCCTTATTTGAAGATTAAAAAAGATTAAATCATGATCACATTTCTGGTGTGGTTAGAGTCAGTCAGTGTGAAACTTGAGTTTCGTTCATGGAGCATGTTTTTCTGAAGCGTTCATCTAATATTTAACTTTCCCTTTGTGAAATGATTACATGGTTCCTTTTTTGTTTTCGCTACAAACCATAAAATACATGTTTTTCTAACATTTAAAGAACTGCACTAACATTCCCGATCTCACGACCAAGTCGTACGAATTCGACGAATGATTAAAAAGTGGGTAATTCGTAACAATTCATACGACCTCACTCGTACGAATTAATACGATTTTGCTAAATCGTACATATTTTTACGAATTGGCCAATTCGTATGAATTCATACGAATGACCTACCCCTTACCCCGCCCCTAAACTTAACCATCACGTGGGTTTAGACAAATCGTACGAATTAGTACGAGTGAGGTCGTACGAATTAGTACGAATTAGACACTTTTTAATCATGCGTCGAATTCGTACGAATTGGTCGTGAGATAGTGTTGCCGTTTCCATAACTTAATTAGAATGTTATGAAAACATTCTTAAAGTATACATGTTTGTTAGCTGGGATTAAACTAACAAACTAGAATGTATTTCACTGAAAATGTCCATGTATTCTTTTATGTATTTTCATTATTTCCCTTTACTCCATTTTTCACTGTGTTGGCATCCATTTGTTTGTCTTGTTAGCTTAAGGCTTGGCTGATTATACCATCTTTGGCTGGTAATCCATCTCCATAGACCTCTGGGAAATAGCTAAAGACAGTGATTATTTGTTTATGATCTTTATATTTTACTGTTTATCATAGGCCTATGTTAAAAAAATGAAAACCAACAAGACACCTTAAACATGAAATGCACCCTCTATTACTAGAACAATACATCAGTCAGATTTTGAGATTATCTGTATCATCTTATAACTACAGTATGTCTGAATAATTGGTCATTTAGTAGTGGTTAATCAGTTTTACAATCAGCACCAATAGATAAATCCACCTTAAAAAAATCTTTAAAATATAGCTGCAAGCAGCAATTAACAGGGTTCAAGCACTTTAAGGTCTTTTAGGAAACACATAAAAGAGTATTATGTTTTATTTATGTTTTTAAGCCATCTAGATCTGACATGGAATACCACTTACAGCCAATACAGGGACATATATGATTTTTAAAGCTGTTATAGCGCCAACTATGGCCAGATCTCCATAAGAGTGTGCTTTCTGGTTCAAACTACTGTAATATGTTGCATGTTCTCACCAAATTTAATGAAGTTCTGAGTTTTCGTTTAGGGGTTAGGTTTTGGTGTACACTTGGCCACACCTATTTTCTAAATGTCCCTGTAATAGCTATCCAAATGGTAAAGTTCAATATTTTCTTTTTGATAATTATTGACCCAAAGAGCCCAGAGAATTGTACTCCACTGGTTTTGTTGAGGTTAATTGAAAAGTAGGTTTTTTCAAAATATTCAAAATTTTGAGTCTGCAGCAAATTTTTCAGGAGTTATGAGGGTCTTTTGATCGCTGTAGCGCCACCGTCAGGCCGATTGTGGCGAGATTTGGTGGAATTGTAGACATGGTGGATACTACCATTCCTCAAATTTTCAAGTTTGTATGACTTACGGTTTGGTGTTACTGGTCATTTTTAAGGCAGAATTTTGATCATTGAAAATCAATAGCAGCTTATACGTTTTTGTTTTACTGCATACTGAATAATTATGTGTTTAATACATTTGCTAATGAAATTGATTTTTTTTTTCAAATTGATTTTTACATATCATCATTACATCATCATCAACCATCCTTGTCAGTCAAGCACTATATTGCATATTCAAATGATTGTGAAATCATCTTTTCCAAATTGCAGCTTTTACCTGTTTTGCTTGATATGAACAACTTCTGCTCCACCAACAAACTCAGATGGAACTAGATTTAGACATGACCAGGTCTCCAGACTGTTGTTGATACGGTGTGAACGGGCATTCGTGAGAGCTGACGCTTCAATTTCTGCCTTTCCAACCAAAATTTCCTGCAAACCAGCATCCGAGACAAGATCAAGCGTCTTTGATGTTTAATGCATAGATGCCTTGAGCCTTGAGCACTTGTGTGTCGAGACACAGTCCGGATTAGTGCGTGGGACTGGATCACATGTAATGTGTTTATCTGTGACAAGCAAATCTTCATATTCATACTGTGTGTGTGAACTAAAGCTAAAAGATGCATTAAATATGTACCAGGAAGCATCAGCTTTGACCCTCTGCTAGTAGTCATGCATATTAATGTACCTTTTTTACTGATGAAAAGTGGCATAAATATGATAATAAATGTTTGTTAAAAAACAAAATAAAATAAAAAAGTATCTCTATAACTCACAATTCTGACTTTTTTTCTCACAATTGAGTGATATAAAAAAAAGTCAGAATTGCATGATATGAAGTCGCAATTATTTTTTTTCTCAGAATTGCATGTTTATGCCTCAATTCTGACTTTACAGTAGGCCTATAACACGCAATTGGGAGATATTAAGTCAGAATTGCGAGATATAAACTTGAAATTGCGTGATATAAAGTCAGAATTGTAAGATGTAAACTCACAATTGTGAGATAAAAAGTCACAATTATCTTTTAATATGTTTGATTCTGTGGCGGAAACAAAGCTGCATGGTTTTGTCTGTCTGAACATTTTTTTTAGAAGAAAGTAGGTCAAACATTAAGAAGAAGCTCATTTAAATGCATTTCTTGTGGTTGTGTTTAAATGATCATTCCCATATAGTTTCAAGTGCTTCTGTTAAACATTTTAAAACAGAATTACTATTACTCAATTAAACCACATTGTAAAATGTGAAGAAACATTTTAAGGAAAAAATAAACCTGAAGAATTGTATTTCTTGTTGTAGTGTATGTATTGTTTACATTAATGTTTTATACAAAGGCAAATACAATTTTTCATTGCTACACTTACATTTCTGCATTGTCAAATGTTTTTTATCCAAAGTGCATTCATTTGTCTCAGTTCATGTATTATCTGGGAATCGAACCCACAACCTTGGTGTCGATACCGTTTGAATACAGAAGTTTTAGGGGTAAAAAACTCATTTTGAGAACCAGTGTGTGTGTGATGATGATGTGGTACAACAGCAGAACTCACAACTATTTTCACTCCTGTCAACTTTTATATATTCATACAGAGAGTATTTGAGCACTTTCAGATGATGAAAGTACCAGGAGTGGATCAAAATACTAAACTTGGAATAAAGATTATTTTCTTGAAGTACAAAGCTGATATTTAGCTACTGATATTTATCTGTCACAGTCACTTACAAGAGTTAAGGTGGTGTACACACACGTTCGGAGTGTGTTTATGTGTGTGTGTGTGTGTGTGTGTGTGTGTGTGTGTGTGAGAGAGAGTGTGTGTGTGTTTGTTTGTGTGTGTGTGAGTGTGAATCAAGAGATTATGAGAAATGTCAAAATGAAGACATTAAAATTACATTAAAATGTAGAAATTATGACAAACTGTTATGACAGACAGGCTTAGAAAGTCATAATTTCGATTTTTAAATCTCATAATTATTTTGCAGCCTGTGTCCTCTCTTAGCCTACTTTCAAAATTCCATGTCATAAATATGACTTACTATTTCATAATTTCTACTTTTTATGCATTTCAAAAAATGGTGTTATGACTTTTTATTTCGTAGGGTAATTAAGATTGTGGGTCAAACGGGATTCCATAGTTAAGCCAGGATAAATCACAGACAGTCTCCGCTCTTGTGTAGCCTACTAGTAAGTCATCCTTGATAGTACACACGGTTGTCAGTCACAAACACTGACTAAGCGAATCTCTTTTGGGGGGGGAAAGCAAGAGGCGCGTGCCGTGATTGGCGCGCTAACACTCCCATGTCAGAGCGCGCGCGTGGGAATCATTTGCTCTCGCGCGCAGCTTCACGGACGCTTCCTCATAACACGCGTCCATAAACCGGAATAAAGTACTGCTAATAACTACCTTTATTTGGATGTCAAGTGAAGATCAATGTCTCCGTCGAACCCGCTACTCAGATCATCCTGATATTCCCGAGAAATGCCCGTTTACACACGGTGCCACAGGTAAGAGAAAGCTGACTGGATTTCTGACGTTTCCAGTGAACGCAACGGTTGTTTGTTGTTACGTGGTTAAAAATCGCTTTAAAATTAGTACGTTCTTAATTAGAATTAGCAAATTAAATGTTACTAAGTTAAGTTAAATGTAAAAATGATTAGAATGATGCTTTATCTAGTATGTTTTTGTGAACTCTTGATATAATTTCTTGAATGTGTAACTACAATAATTAACGATCCCTTCACTTTCTATAGGAATGATTATAGTTTCGTTGTTAAACAATAATCGGACACGAACGACCTTTCAAATAAAATTTGAATGCGATAAACTCGTTATCAAGACTTCAAAAGTGGGAAGTAGGACATTTCCGATAACACGTGATCAGTTCGATCCACGCAATTCGTATCCAGTTATCCCTTATTTCAGACTGAAATGTAGAGTGGAGAGAAAAATCTGTACATATATTGTTGAATGTTATATAATGTAAATATGTCTGTCAGTCACATTTGCCTTGTGGAACAGAAATTACATTCATTAGGGTGTTGAGTGGTTTGGCAGTCATTGGCAAATTCACTTTATTGGCACATATGCAGTTGACAATTTGGATAATATGATTGATTGGTTATCTTTCATTTCATATTATAATTGCACTGTATATAGTGCATATATTCAGAGATGATCTTGTGTCATCAGATAATGCTTTTGTCACAGTTTTTCTTTAAAAATAAATAAATATGGAAGGAAAATCGCATTGTATGTGGTGTGTGTTACAGCTGGGGTTGATGTAATATAGCAGTGCACAGTGCTCCCACAGCAGTTCACAGCAGTGCAGAGAACATGTAGGAGTGGGAATGAACAGGATTAACATAAATGACTTTTTTTTTGTGGGAAACATCGTCTCACCTTATCATCAAAATTCCAGAACTGGGATTTTCAGTCACATCATGTGTGAGGATGTAGATCCTGCGCTCAAGAAATACTGAATATGTAGTATAGTGGAGCTGGATTTACGTTCTGATAAAGTAGAGTTGAAAATAGCTAAATATATATTGAGAGAGTTAGAATTAGGGCAGTGAAAATACATTTATATTTAGTGGTGTTTGCCATGTCAACTATTGGACATACTTCAGTGCAACTATTACACTGGAGAGTTTATGATCCAGTTACTTCACTAATGCTACATTCAATGACATGTCGTGCACCCGTTTCTAAAAAAACAATTCAGAAGCTTTCTATCAATTTTATTATATTTAAAATCGGCCAACAGTGTGTATGTGTGTGATGTCACCACCCACTGAGTGGCAAAAAGACTAAGTGGCAACATTGTTTTTCAGTGTAAATGCCGGGAAAAACACACAAAACACGTCTAAAACAGGAAAGAGCTTTTGCGATTGACTGTATAAATAGATTTGACAAGAAATCTAAGGTATATTTTTACAGATTGCCGAAAGCTACAGAACAGAGAAGTGAATGGATTGCTGTGTGCAAAATATTGTATTGTTATATTTTATTGGCAACTAATCAGTTAAATATTTTCCATTGTATATGTTGCATAATTTGTAATAATTATAATACAATTGTAATAATAAAATAATTATAAAATAATTGTAATAATGTTTTTAAATGAACACTGAAAAAAACCATACAAGTTTTACGGCTGGGCGACATGAGGATACATATAACATTGATATAAGTGATCATCTGGATTTAGACCTTGGCCATATTATTTATACAAAGCGTTAACAGGCTAATTTGCTTGATGTATTTCCCCGTCGTCGACATCAGGCTCATATAAATGTCAGGAAACACGATTCTGAATGTCAATATCACAGATCACTGGATCTGTGGTGAGTTGTAAGGAACACCATATCAAGTCCAACCTTTATTTTAAACTGATAATCGTTTGTTTTACTTGCATTTTCGCAGTTTCCCCTATTAAATCCAGTCAGTCAGCAGCTCTTCTGCCACTCAGTCCGGCTGAGGGATTGTGTTCCCGCGGGAAAGTGACGTCAAAGCATATATCCTCTATATACTGTTAGTCAACCATTAGATTGATTGTTCCAAATTAATTAATTACAAAATCTAATGGCACTAAAATAACTTGTAAATGTGCTTGGTCATTCTTTCGTGAAGCCCATGCAATTAATGAGATTTATAATGTTCAATTGCTACGTGCCCCGACGTATCATCCAGCAGATGAAAATAATGCGACCGATCACTTCAACAACACAAGATTTGAGGAATCATTAATATCTGGAGCTGGCCTGTTCCTACCAGACTCGTACATTTCATTTGTACAGAGAGTCTGGCCTCGCTCCATTGATGAGCGTTAACTTCCTTGAAGGCCAACTCCATTGAAGTTTTAAACCATTGGATCTGCCTTAATCGCTAACGTTTGGTCGTGGCCGATTAGAAAAAAATGATTAGAGAGAAAACCCAAGAATGTACAGCAAACCCAGATGTAGTACTGAAGGAAAATGAAAATTGAGCGGAAGTACGTAGGAGGTAGTGTTGTCATGGTACCAAAATTTCAGTATTCGGTACCAATACCAGTAAAAATTCACGGTTCCCTGTACCAATTTCGGTACCAAAGCTTTGTGTGTACCAAAGTTTAAATTTACATATATTTAAGTGTTTATCACGGTTACAAGTATGGAAACTGTACATTTGTATTATAAACACTTTAGAAAAAAATTAGATAAAATGACCTAAAATAAACAATAGTATACACTAACACATTTTAAAAGTTGTTTGTAAAGTTCTAATCCGTTAACATTTATTTAATGCACAATGAATGAAGTGAACAAACATGAACAATCAAGTGTTTTTATTAAATAACATTTACAAACATTAATTAATGTTGTAAAAATTAGAGCCAGACCGATAAATGATTTTGAAGGCCGATACCGATACAAATATTTGTTGGTTTTAAAATCCGATATTCCGATATATCGGCCGATATTATTATTATTTTTATTTCAGAAACGTGCTACAAAATATTAACAGATTTCCCTAACATTAGTTATTTATATATGAGTTTTAATTAAAATAATATGATAATGCATTTTGAAAAGACATTTTTTCTATTGTCACAACAGAACGGAGGAACATCAAAATATATTAAAGTTCTGATAAATAAAATAATAATTAGTCCCTACATTGCCTTATAGTTATAAGCTACCTCACAATTACAATGTCAGCTTGCTTATCCCTTTACCTGCACTTTTTGACAACACTCGTGACATGGTTGAAGCGTGATTCGTCCGTTTTTATTTTATTTTTTAAATATTCATTTATCGGCCATTATAACTGCCGATAACGATATTTTAGAAAATGCCTAATATTGGCCGATAATATCTGCCTGCTGATATATCGGTCTGGCTCTATTAAAAAATATATTGTTCACTCAATGTGTTGATGTGAAGTAGCTAATGTTGATAAATGGTATCTTATTGTAGCGTTACCAAACTATAGGCTACAGAAGAAAAAACATGTTTTATTTGATTTGACTGTACTTTTATTTAATCTAAAACTGCATTCATATTTAATTTTGAAAAGGCTTTTTAAAACTGCCGAGTTATAAAGGCAAGAATACGCCTAGAACTGGCACTGACATTAAATGACATAAATAGGGATGCATCGATACTAATACACCAGTACTCTGGTGTCGGTTGAATACTACTGTGCTCATACTCGTAAAACTACCCCGAAAGCACTTTAGAGGCCGTTCACATATCGCGCGTGTTTTTTTTTATTATATTTTTGCGCGTGCTTATTCTTTCCAAAGCGCTTGCTCTCACGCGGCGTCTGTCGAGTTTTTATTATGAGCGCGCTTGCCTCGCGCCTATATTTGAAATTGCGAATTTGCATGTAATCGGCCTCTTATATTTCTTTTATACCTCTTATATAAAATATTTCCATATGTGGCTCTTTCCTCCTTTCGTGTCAACAAGTGGATTCAGAGAGAAAGCCATATCAGCGTTATGAAGAGGACGCAACTGTGCACCTTTCAGACAGCGCGTCTAGAACTGGATTAACCTGGTATTCGGTACCTAGAAAAGCTGGTACCGTAACATTTTTTTTTTTTTTATCACCGACTTGGTACCGAAGTACCGAGTTTTTTGACAACACTAGTAGGAGGGCAAACCCTGAGCAATAGTTGTGTTGAGGTTGTGCTGTTGGTGTCATGAATGACTGCAGGATTCTGTCCTACTGAAGGTCAAAAACAATATAACAATGATTCCACCCAAAGGACAAAGGCTATGATCATTGATGGCCTTCTTAAAGCGCCAACTCCATCAGTCTTACAGGCTAGATTGGCTATCCATCACATTATCTCTGGCTCGGTGGGGGGGTTGTCATGTTGCTCACCCAGTAGTGGAAGAATCTCTCTGGATCTTCCTGCGTTTTCAGATGTGTGGGTCTACTTGATTTCGGTTTTCTATCCTCCTCCGCTTTGACCTTTGGGCTCTTTGCAAACTATAGTGACAAATCTTGTAGAAAGTGTGACAGCGGATCCATTATTTTTTCACATACATCCTCCCCTGTGTATAAGTCCTCACTTGAATGAAATATCCTTTGGGATTTTCACTGTTGTAAGCGGCTAAACTTCTGAATCGAGGTTTTCCCGTCAGGTCGGAATCACCATAATTTCATAAAGAGGACAGCTGAGAAATAATGCCTCAGATTGTGGATAGTTGTTATAGAGCACTGATGTCTACATTTAAAGTCAATAATCGTATCACTCATCTTTGATCACCAAAATTACATATTTAAACTCATCTGAATTCCATTTTTAATGGCTTGAATCAATTAATCAACAAAATTTAAACATCAAATCAATTCAAAAATGAGAAGAGAATTATTTTGTGTTGTTTTTGAAAGTCGATGTATGAAATAATGTTATGCTCATAATTTTCATGATTTATGATTTCTTCACGTTAACACAATCAGGTATGCCTTTAATGAATGCAAACAGTTGAAAAAGAAATCAGATGTGTATCATTATATGGGTCTTAAAGTGACAGCAGCCTAATATTAATGCTAATCAAACAACAAACGAAAACAGTATAAAATTAATCTATAAAACAATAAAAATAAGTCCTGTCATATGATAAATTTAATAATAATAAACTCCTCGCCTAATAATAATTTAATAATTGAAAATAGCAAATCCTCTTGATATAGCTAATGCTTTTGACGATATCTCGGGTTATTGTCATTACGCAATATCATCGTCCATCGTCACAACCCTATAGCACATATTAGTGTGATTTATATTCTGTGAACCAATCTACCAATTTACATTCAAGGTAATCGTGACCCCTGCAGTCACCAGATGGGCGCACATTATAGATGAAGCAGCTGGTGGCTTGTTTGTTCAGACTGATTAAAACTCATGTGCACAGGTGCATTATGGGATTCGGAGTCGGTGGTGTTGTCATATTTGATATTGGCTCATCTCTATCCTCTTGCATTTTCATGCATCTAGAGAATGTGCGTGTCCTTACAGACGAGACTTCAGGCCGTGTCTTTAGATTTGTGTTTTGAGTTTGTAGGTTTTCGGGTGATCGTAAAAACACAGATGCTTAGTTTGGATAGTTAGTCCTTAATGAGCAGATCAGGCTGTTCTTTTTGGGCACACAAAAAATAATGATCGTTATTGGTAGGCTATACTCTCATATAAACATGCATTATTACTACTCATCACTATCCACACTGAGAATTAATTTTTTGACTGTGTCAGTTTTTACACTGATTGGACTGTAGTTTCATCTAGCATGTTTTACCCAAAATGGAAGCTTTAATGAACAGCTCGTTAAAAAAATTACCATTCTGTCATCATTTACTCACCCTCATGTCGTTCCAAACTCCTTTTTTTCTGTGGATCTTCACACTTGGCCAGGGTTAACTTAAACCAAACCATAAAGACATTTTGTTATTTGAAACAAAAAATAAAAGTTTTTTTAAAAGAAAAGGAAAAGAAAGTAAACTTATTCCGGGCTCAACGCTAAGGACTGTTGTGCTTGCCCAGTCAAACAAATTTTTACTTGCCTGCCAAAATGTTCACTGGCCCCAACACACAAAATTAATAAATAAATGAAATAAAATAACATTTTTGTTTGTTTTTGATCCATAATAAGTAAGGTTATGACACCAAAAACTACTAGCCTAGCCTAATTCATAAGTTTTTAATATTGCTAAAGACACTAAGTAAAATACTGAGAAAGTGAAAAACAAGAAAGTGATGAAAAGCGTGAGACAGGACATTAGATAAAGTGTGTTACCACTGTGCAGGCTGGTGGTGGTGGTGTAATGGTGAATGGGATGTTTTCTTGGCACACTTTAGGCCCCTTAGTGCCAATTGGGCATCGTTTAAATGCCACGGCCTACCTGAGCATTATATTTGTGTGGGGATATTTGTGTGTCCTGATAATGTCAAAAGTCTGATGTTCCCAGTAAAAAGTGTCCGACTTTATTTTAAATATATCTAGAGTGAAACAGCGCAGTATTTATCTAAAATACTTCTGCATTTCAGCTTCAGAATCATGAATATTGTTATTCTGGTGTCTCTATTGTCCTGTGCTTTGGGTTTCTGCACCAAGTCCAAGTCTATTCATTCACACACACAATTCAATACCAAATTTTCAGGCAATTAATTATTTCCTCTTGGATTAACACTTACCCGTTTCCTGAATTTTTAAAAGCTTCTATATAGCATTCTTAAAATAATTGGAACAGACAAAATATGGCAACTTGTGTATTATTTATTTTGGCTTCGGATTTTTGTTGTATATTTGATGCACTTCTTGCGTGTTTAAACTTTTAAGCTTCAGTGATTCCTCAAAGCGTTTGTTGATCTGTTCGAGAACAATCATATTGATACGTGACTATGAGAGAATTGTAGTTATGGATTTTAATACATATTGCATTTTTTTATGCACCTGTAATGCTGATATATAATTGTTGGTGTTTTCAAATGTTTAAAATAGTTCATTGTTTCATACTTCACCCTGGGTTAGTGTATATTCCTGTGCCATTGAGCGGTAAAATTGTGCAGCAATGTTATATTCTTTATTCATATCATAGCATGTCTTTATTTAGCAGATTTCTCATGCACGCTCAGTGTGTGTCATAAGCATGCATTTTGCTTCCCTAGTTGAAAAATGGCAAGAGTCAGACCCTTCTGGATGAACCATCTGGATGTTTGATATCTCTGAATGTGCTTTCATCCTCCCAGCGAGGTGCATTTGGGGAAAAAAAGTAAAGAGAAAACAACTCCAGAGTAAGGCATACGTTTTGCAAAGCTATTTCTTTCTGTGTAGATGTCGAGTGCTGGAGCTGTGTTTCTAGGAAATGACTTCCGCTTGATTGGGAATACCTTCTGTTTGTATCTGCTGCTGACTTGTTAGGCCGGTGTTTGAAAGGTCTGTTGAACTCTACTGTGCATTATAGCAGATTTCACCAGCCTAAAGGGTAAATTATACGTCTGCCTGCTCTCAAGACACACAATAGTTTCCCTCAAACTGAGACTATTGCTCTGAAAAATAGGATTTATGCCATCTGTGATGCCCACTGGGAGAGTTTTGTGACAACACAGTTTGTTTGAGTCTGTTTCACTGGTGGTTCTTCAGGCAATCGTTCCATATACAGTCCCTCCAGGATTTCACAATTTTTTTTGTGATTTTTGCGATCAAAATGACTGATTTTGTGGTGGTAATTTCCAAAAATTTGTGAAAAAATGTGCGATTTATATATAACATTTACCATAATAGTATTCAGTCCTTCCAGAAAAACGCTGAGTTTTTTTGTGATTGTTGCGGGCAAAAATTTATTGATTAGCCTACTCGGCCCGTTTTCTTTAAAAATGCGATGGAATATGCGGGATATTTATGCAATTTTATGCGATGAAATTGCAGGAATTTGCAAAAATTGAGAGAACTTGCAAAAATTGCGGTTTGATGAAAAAGATTTCTCTTTTTCAGTGATTCCCCCAACATCCTGTTCTCACTAGGCTAATGTAAGAGTCATTTCTTATTACTTCCTTTGATAAGCAAGCATACTACATCATAGAAAGTGCTGGGAATATTTAATTTCTCATCTTGTTTTATTTCAGACTGTAAGAGTGTAAATAAGGTGTGGCCCCTTTAAGAGCTGTTGAACTCTCTGCAGTGTTATATGCGCCTCGAACACCCCATGTGTGCGGGTAATTTCTGTTTGATGCTACTTCTTTTATCTTGTGTTGTTTATTAAGTAACGATGTGACGGTAGAACGTGTGACAGACAGTTATACGAGTTCGATTTGTGAGATGTCAATCGCCTCCGTGAGTCTGTCCGGCGTCGCGTAATTGCGTCACTTCATAACGTTCCCATGGAAACAGGGGGAAATGGCTGCTCTTGTGTGAAGTAAACGCAACATTTTTCAACTTTCTGCTAAGATACATGTGACTTTTTTTGCAACGAAAATGCGAGGATTATGAAATTATGCAAACCCCGCATATTTTGCAAGGAAATCGGCAATTTATGCGGCGAAAGTGCGGCGTATTTGAAAAAATGCGGCCCCCGCATAAATATGCGGACTTTGGCTGATTTTGCATTGAATTCAGCGATCGCATAATCGCGTTTTTCTGGAGGGACTGCATATGCGTAGCTTAAAGGGATAGTTCACCCAAAAATGAAGATTGTCATCATTTATTTATCCCTGAGTTGTTGCAAACCTGTATGGATTTCTTTCTTCTGCTGAGCACAAACGAAGATATTTTGAAGAATGTTGGTAACCAAACAGTTGATTGACTTGATAAACAGTTGATTAAACAGGGGTGCACATACAGTAACAGGTGCGTAGGGCTGGGCGATATGACGATATATATCGTTACCGTGGTAGAAAACGTCAGTCGTAACAGATTTTTTTTATTCCGTGTATACCGCGAAATGTAAATAAGTGGGCGTGGTTAACTCCTGTGCAGTGCGCGTGAGACTGATGCTGAGATTTGTCAAAGAGACATGGAGAAAGCAGATCAAGAGGATCCACAAAGGAATTACGTTTTCTAAAGGATTGTTGTTAACATGATATGTTCGGGGGGAAAGGCAGAGCAACTTGAGCAGAGCAGTTTAGAGGAGTGCACGTTCGCAACGGGGAAAGCATGAAGTTACTTGATAACAACATTTCATAGGCTATATCAATATCATTACGAGAAATAACCTTAAATAATGTGTAGTTATCCGCTTCTTTCCTACTCTTATGTATAGTTTCTTTTTAAACTTGAAAATGAATGAACATCCTGCTTGTTACAACGAATATATAATCCTGTTTCTGAGGCAAAATTACTAAATATGCAGCTGCGCGAGTTATATATTTTTTAACTCCAAACAATTTCCTACTGAACCAGTTGATAAAATCGTCCTTTGGTTCGATCCGTGATTACAACTTGACTCTCAAATTAATCGATCGCATTTTGTTTAATGCAGGAAAAGTAACATTTATTTAACTTTAAAAAACAATATTTAACAAATAGTAAAAACGTGAGGTTGAACAAAAAAAAAAGTTCAGTGCTGAAAATAAATATTTAAGCATAAATGAGACTGTATGACACACTGTAGCAACCAGCATAATAAAGTACACAGTGCACACTGTACTTCATTTTAAAAGTAACTTAATAAGTACATTTTTACTTAATTTTTTTACTTTACCTAAAAAGTAAATTGTTCTGTGCCGGGAAAAAACTGTGGCCGAACACAGCAGTCGCGTATCGGCCGATTCCGATACACATAAAAAACGCAAATATCGGCCCGATATATCAGCCGGCCGATCACTAGCCCATACAAACCGAGCGTTTTTTAGCTAGGCTCAAAACTAGGGTAGAAAATAGCCTATTACTTATTCATTTTGATGTTTTTGAATGTAAAAACCAAGCGAATGTCATAAGTTGACCTCAGACAACAATATAATAAAATGTAAAAAGCCAGTTCATGACCCCTTTAAAAACGTACCTCTTCACTGTTGCCTATAACTTGTGATGTCCCTTGTTGTCTGTTGTTGTGTTGTTTTATTGTTTTTGGTTTTAGAACATTATACAGCGGTTGTTTTTATTGTGCTTTATACATAAATTGAGCTTGAGATTGCTTCTGTTCTTCCTCAGATCGACTCCAGCGGCCTGAAACTCTCACTCGCTCACCATGTCCTCCTTCAGCTCTTTATTTGCCCTGCTCTTCATCTGCAGGTAAGAGGATTCTGTCATGCATCAAACTCATATAATCGTGTTTGACGTTTCTAAATCAGCCTTATAAAAGCGTGGATGGGAATAGTACATTTCCGAATTAAGGATGCAATTATTCATCAATTCTTTTAAGAAAAGCTTACCCAAGAAATAAAATGCATGTATTCACCCACATCTCCTTTTAAGAAAGAAATGCATATTTTGATAAATTGTTAACTCCTCACATTAGGTTATGCTAGGGGTGTGACAAGTCAGTATTTGCACAGGATTTATAAGAAATCCTCAATGGCAAAATTCATGACTGAAAAAAAAAAGTAATTTCAGTTCTACTTTCTGAGTATTAATAATATGCATTGAAAGACAACAATATACAAGCACTGTAAAATGTTTTGCCACAAACTCGACTGACTGGCTTTTGTCATGTATGATTTTACACAAGTCTCTTCAGAACTACCGAACCCTAGGCTTGCACTACGTACGCTAAGTTAATCGATGTCACGCCGCTGTTGATTACGGGAAGGTGTTTGCGTATGTGGACCGCTCGAATGCAGTAGGCTGTGAGAAAGTGAAAATAGAAATTGTGAGCAGAAAAAGAAGGCGATTCAAGTCGAATTTGCAATGCCAATTTGTGTTGTGGTGGCAAGGACCCTAAACAATACACTGTTTGCGAAACATTTGCGTATGAAACATCCGAAAGAATATGAGTTGTGCATGAAGGAATCTACAGACAGCAGCCAAAATGCACAACTTCAGGTCCGGGGAAGGAAGGACAGTCACAGATAAACTTGTGTTAACCAGACGACCATTACCAGACAACAAGTGGATATTGATCGGATCTTGAGATAGGGTAAACATAGGCCTACGGCAGTGTTGGGTGTAACTAATTACTAAGTAATTAGTTACTGTAATTTAATTACTTTTCCCTTGAAAATGTAAAGTAAGGGATTACTCTTCATTTATCTGTAATTTAATTACAGTTACTTCTGATGTAATTGAGGTAAATACTGTGTATAAATCAATCCGATCTCACAACGATTCGTATGCATTTTATGAGGTGTCTAAATTTCTTATGAATTATTGTAAAATATGTATGAAAAAAGTGTGAAATGTGTGAGATCAGACATAAAACAATAGTGGGTTTAACATCAAAATGTATTGTCTGATGTTAAAAAGTATGTTTTTATAATGTAACCTTGTCCACCTTGGTCAGTTTAAGGATAATTCATGCAATTTTATAGTATTTATTTGAAAGAATTAAAACAGATTCATGTCTATCCTTGTATTATTCAGCTGGTTGAGACTGATATGGGATTTTGAAAGTAATTAGTAATTAAAAGTAATTAAATACTTTTTAGAGAGAGTAATTGGTACAGTAATCTAATTACACTGTTGAAGAGGTAATTAGTAACTAGTAATTAATTACTTTTTTAGAGTAACTTACCCAACACTGGCCTACGGTAATTGTCAAAATAGTTTTTCCCACTTGTCATCCTTTTGTTACAGTTAAAATAAAATGATAAATACTAGGGCTGGGTAATAAATATCGATTTCTCGATATTAATCGATTCTCATTTTTACGAACCGATATCGATTCTTAAATCTCAATCTTCAATATTTAATGCATATTTGAATAAATCTGGCAAGTTTTTATGACAGCCACCATTTAAATGTTTATATTTCATATAATCTCCTTATTATAAAAATAAATAAAAGTGTAATTTAAGTGTTTGTATAGCTAAAAAAAAAAAGATCATTATTACCTTCATATTAGGCTAATGAAGCCTATAGGCTACAACTAGACTCCCATAGTTTACAGCATTAGTTAAGAGATTTGATTCCCTTGAGAAAAATTGCCATTTATTGCAACTGATATCCAAAATAATCGATATTGAATCGAATCGTAATCCAAAACGAATCGAATTGCAAACTTGTGAATCGAAATCGAAACGAATTGTGAAATTTGAAATAATAAATAGACTGCTGTGGACGTTGTTTACTTCATTAACGTGTTTACTGTGTTAATGGACTGAGGGTGGGAATAGGATTCGGATTTCGGTTTCGGGTGCATTCCTAGTTTAAATACCAATAAACTGTATAATGCAAATAGTGTGGATTTCTTCCATTAAAGGTTGATAGAAACAAAGGTTTATAATCTATTCCAGATGGATGTTGGTGTCAGTGAACTTTGCAAATGTGTAGCGAATAGCAAATCACAGGCAGCTGGAATGATGGGAGCTTTTTTCACAGTCTGATGCTCGAAAACTGCCTTGACGGTGCGGTTTAGAGAGCCTGTGAAGCACATAGACCCACGCAAACAAACATACATGTGTCAGGAACGCCTGTAGGCATGATGTCGTGAGATTTATTTATTCTGACACTCACCTAGTTCCCGCAGCGCTTTGAATCAAACACTTTCATGCCTCGTGTCCCGGCGCTCCAGACTCCAGCAGTTCCTCTGATTATCATCCATAATGGAGGCGAGTGAGCGGAGGCACATGTGGCACACACACACACACACACACACACACACACACATGGATCAGTGTTTGTAGGATGTTCATTCTGTGAATAACATGGGCTACGTTTCCTCTAAAGCACTGTAAATCTAAGCAGATTTCTAAATTCTGATTATGCTTGTGATTAGAAATCCACCAAAATGAAAATATTGCCACATAACGAACTTGATGATAAGGAATTTATTACTAGTTCAGCTCTGTATCTCATTCATATTCCCGAATGAGATCTTTAAGGATAATGTGATTGTTTTTTGTCTGCAAGAGATTAATGACCTAAATGGAGATTAGATTAAAATTGCACTTTTGTCAGATTATGTGATTTTTTTTTTAAGCATCAGGACCTTTTTGACTCTTTGAGCTCATTGTCTCTCATATTCTTTGTCATGGCAGCTTAATTTCAGGAATTAGATTATTTGAAGTACCAAAAAACTAAAGTTGGAGACAAAGTGAAATTTAATATTATTCTTAACGTCATTCAGTGGTTTGTAATTCAGCTGAACATGAATTCAGAGAAACATGTTTAGGTGTTTGTACTACCGACTGACTCCCTGTTTACAGCATTAGTTCATTTAGTAGTTTGTTCGTTCGTTCAGATTGAATTGGAGTCTTGTGAATTGAAATCGATTGTGAAATTGTGTCAATACCCAGCCAGCCCTGTTATTTATGTTATATGTTAAATGTTATGCTATATGTGTTATTCTGGAGGCTGTCCTTAAGTGTCACGCATCTCTCTCACTCACTCTTCTGGGACAGAATTATGTTTTTTTTCTCCCTTTTCATCTCTCAATTTCCATTTGCTGGGAAAGAACAAAGCATGAGACGATCCAAGAGTAAAGCAGTAACACTCATTCATTCACTCCTTGAGTTATTGTATAAGCTATTGCTCAATGAAAATGATCCAAAGCGTCCAATCAGCCGTATTACTAGATTAGTCTGAATATTACCAATAGTGTTGGCTTTTGTTTAAGAAAAGGCTGTTAAATACATAAATGTAAATGTTTAAAGTTTATACGAATCAGTGTGAAATGTATGGCATCGTGGAAAGTTCAGTTGCTCCAGAACTGCAGACAAACGTTTAATTCGGTGAAGGAAACTCGGTCTCGGTCATTTTTATCATGCATTATCGTTTGGCACCGTGATATCATGTACTGTACATTATCATGCTACTCGTTAAATGAAACGAATAGCGACGGTCATGAGTGAGTTTCCCCTCCGGCCGAGAATGAGCTTAACCAGCTCTGCCAGCAGCCTCTGCGAGGGGTTCAGATAAGCCCCGGCAAAGATAAGGTGGATTAATATGAAGTGAAATTTTAAAAGCTTCTTGTGTGTGGTGTAACACACAAAGACAGAAACATACACTCGTTCACATGCTAGCATACGCATGTGAGGATGACTCAAATCACTTTAGCCCATAGGACAGATGAAGTCATATATAGTGTACAAATGCAGTTGGGCTTGAAAGCCTTCTTCAGGGAATATAACACAAACTAACTACATACTGAGTTGAACAATTTATATTAAGAGGATTAAAGGGATTAGAAAGTGCAGCACTGCAAAATATGACGTCCTCAGTGTTTCTGTCTTGTTTTCCAGCACAAATATCTAAAAATTCTTAAATCAAGACTGGCAATGCAAAATGAAAAGGGTTTACTTCATGCTTGAAACAAGAATAAATATTTGCCAACGGGGTCAAAAAAAATCTACATGAAAAATATTATTTTTCTGAACCCATTGGGAGTTATTTTGTCTTGTTTTTAACTATAAACTCAACTAGATTTTTTTCTTAAGAAAATGACTTAACATCTTAAGTTTGTTTCTCCAGTAAATGTATCTTGAATCAAGAGTGGTTAAGAATGTCAACCAATCAAAAAGAGCGTAATTTTCAGAATGACATTTTCAACCTATTACTCCAACAATCATAAGCAACACACAGAAATAAACTTTTGAGACATTTGAAAACACATCGACGCCAAAGCAATGCGATACTGAACAACACGCTGTACACAAACTCTTAGTTTTATTTTGTAAATAAACTATTAAAAATGCAAAATACCTAATTTTTTATCAACATTATTACCATCTCTTACATTTGGTTTTAACTGTTCAATATTTAAAAAGAAAAAAAAAACGTGAAAAAATGACGTTTTATGGTTACATTATTTAGGATTCAAACTATCCTGATGTAGGACATTATATTTATTAAACTTCTATGTTCTTTTATCTGCTCGATTCCCAACCTTAACCTCATTGCATGGACATTTGAATTCTATAAATCACATTTTAAACTTGTAAATGGACAATTAATGCAATTGCCACATTTTAAATTTCCCATTGGAATTTAGTGGACTTTTTTTTTTTTTTAAAGAGATGAGCTTTTACAGCTCTGTTTTTAATAAGTCTTAAATCAACCAGAAGATTTTTTATTTCTAAAAGAGGAGTTCAAATAAGAATCAGGCATATTAAAGTGAAACTCGCATGGCTTCTTGAAGGCTCTTTCTGAGATTATACTTGATGATTTATTGTGTTCAGTGTTTCCTGCTTAGAGGGTTTCATGATGCAATGGGTTTCATCACATTTTGACCTGAAAAACCTCTATATTCTTATATGAAGCTCTTCAGAAAAGCATTCCTATTATGTGAACATTGTATAAAGGGAGAGTAAGTTGTTTGCTCATGTAGAAGTCGCTGTTAAAATGCTAGGATGTCGTGGACAGTGTTGTGTGTTACTTAACTACTCTTTCCGGTAAAAAGTAGTGTAACGCGCTACTACTGAAAATTTGGTAACGAAACTTAGTTTCTTTTTCAATTCAGCAAAACGTTACTTTTCCTGGGGAAAAATTTGACAGCAAGCTGTTTACTTTTCATAATCAACATGGATGGGGAAAAAAAAATAACATTATAATATTTTAACAAATATGAAACTAAATGCGCTTATTTAATGCCACGTGCAGTAGGCCTAGACTCTATTTGTACAAATTGCTGCACATTCATTTAATTCTGAATTTTACACTCATAAGTTGAAAGGCATTTCAACATTTATCAAGTTCACGGATAATTGTGCATGCATTTATTAATCATTATGATACTAAAATCATAATACAGATGAGCCCAGAATATGAACGCAATGTGTTTGATTACACGTTAAGTATTTTTCCTCCCATAGAAAACCATTATAAGAATGCTTAATTTGCCTCAATGCAGATTAGAAATATAGTCCCCTTATTACAGTATGTTGAAATAATGTTTTGGTCTTTCTTGCTTTCTTTCCACCCCCTCCCTAGCGCTGCCCATGCATATGCCCGGGGCCCATATTAACTTCATAAATATTCAAAATTTTGATAAATGCATTATAGTAGAACTTTGTCGGCCTGCACATTTAGGAACAGATAGTGGGTTCTGCCCAAAGTCAAGCAACATAAAAGTAAGGTAAAAGTAACAAGTAATGTAAAAAGTTACTTTCCAAATGGGGTAACTAAGTAAAGTAACGGATTACTTTTGTTTAAGAACACTACTTTTTTAAAGAAACTTCCCCAACACTGGTCGTGGAGGGGTTAAGGCAAGGCAAGGCAAGGCAAGTTTATTTATATAGCACATTTCATACACAGTGGCAATTCAGTTAAATTCAAGTGCTTTACATGGAAGAAATTAAAGAAGTCAGATTAATTAAAACAGTTTAGAATAAAAAAAAAATCATAATAATAAAAATAAAATACAGTGTCGAAAATAAAATGTACAGTAACAGTTGGACAAACAGTGGCACAGTGCTCATTCAGTAAATGCAATCAATATAAATAAAAACAGTTAAGAATAAAAATAAAATAAAATAAAGTTATATCCATATCTGAGATGGAAGAGATTGAGCTGGTTTACGGTGCTTGCATATCAGTGCACTTAGGGTTAAGTGCACTGATATGCAATTTCTAAGGTGTGCTAGGTTGTTGCTTGGGCGTTGCTAGGGCGTTGCTAGGGCATTGCTTGGTTGTTGCTAGGGTGCAGGATGAACTTCATACAGAAGTTTGAATGCTTACTGTTTGAAACCTAATAATCAGTATGAGCAATAGTCATTAAAATAGGCAATTAAAATAGTGGTGTTTGCAAAGTCGCTGTGTTTTGGAAGATTGATCCAAACCCTTCCAAGCTCCCATTTCTATAAATTATTCTCAAAAGTATAAGTAACCCCATCAGAAACTCTTAAAATGAGAGCAGTTGCTATAGCAACCATCCTGAGGGATTCTACAATGCACTGCACAAATATAGCCAAACATAGTTTGCATTCACTCATATTATTGTTTTTCTGCGATTTCTTTAAGCAGATCATGCCACCAGCTAGATGGTTTAAAAATAAAAGCTCAAGGTTTATTATTTTTCCCAATTTTTAACTGCTTGCAGCCTTGTTTTGTGATCACAGTGGACGTATATTATATTTAAAATATATATTGAGCGATATATCATGCATTGTTAGGGTAAAAACTTCTACTTCGCATCTCTTGCACTGAAGCCTGTGCTGAATAATCTCACTAATGTAGTCCAAGCGTCCTCGACATGTTTGAAGAGTGTTCGGCTGATGTTTACACTGCTGAATGCAGATAGGGTTTCTCTCAGGAGCACTTACTGACATAAAGGATTCTGTTATTGCTGAATTAATAAGCAGAAATATTCCCTCTGAATGCTTGACCTCTCTGGCACACAATCTTCCTCTTCCCTCTGTGAAAATGAGCTGTCAGTGTGTCGAAACTCAGCATTATATGTGGAAATGTGTTTAGGCGGTATTGTTCCCTGTATATGGGTATTATATATAATAGTGAATCACAAAGGGATTTATTGTGGCACACTCCTGCAGGGTTCGGTTAATAATGCTTTTAGTTGAATGCTCACTAACAGCGCATCATGATTGTATAATTTTTTGGTAACACTTTACAATAAGGTTCATTAGTTAAC